GTCTGGTTCGGTCGATGTAAGTTCATTTCTATGTTCCAGACTAGTAGACACAAATTGGCAAAGGTTTGCAGCTATCAAAGATTAAAAGAGCATTTGATTATTTTGATATCCAATGAACTCTAGTTTTATGATTTGCTTCAATGGTGAAACCTAGAAGAAGGCAATATTTTTCAAAACTCATTTTCATATTTTCAAAATTTTGAAAAGTCAAAGGAAGAAAAGCATTTTCAAACAAGATAAGTTCTCTAGAAGCATGTCTTGGAATTCAACATATATACCTCTGAAGCTCAAGATTGAAGCTGGGGCAAAAGAAGCCATTTTTGGGCAAAATTTGATAATTGTCTTAAGTTGAGGTTTGCAAGAATACACCATGGTGAAATGAAGAAAAACTGAGAGAATGGAGATTGCTCACGCAATTATCCCCTTCACAGATCAACATTTTGTTTTAAGCATATTCAAGATTCCAGCATCAAGAGTCATCAAGACTGATAACCAGGGATTGAGATTTCTCTTTAAACCCTAACATATTTCGCATATACATCAACACATGCATACATTACGCATGAAATTTGCATCTTGCATTCATCATCATGTGCAAGAAAGACCTTGATTTTTTTAGGACAAATTCAATAAATCGACAAATAAATTTCATCTTGGCATACATCAAACATCCATCATCAGGATAGTTACATCCATACATTTTACAGATCTTTCAGGAGAATATGAGGTCAAAAGACAACAAGTCATCCTCATCAAGAATGAACAATCATCTTCAGATTCAATATTTCCAATATAAATTTTGTCTCGCTTGAGACAATCTCATTTAATGTAGATGATTATCTCACTTGAGATTTCTTTTTCTTAAACAGGCTTTGTCTCACTTGAGACAGTTTCACTCGAAAAAGGCATTTCATTTCACTCAAGACTGTTTTTAAAAAGAAGATTTTATCTCGCTTGAGATAGTTTCCTTTAAACAAAATTTTGTCTCACTTGAACAATTTCTCTTGAAACATAAATATTGAAAACATTTCCCTTGAAATGAATTTTGTCTCTCTTGAGATAGTTCCCTTGAAACAAAATTTGTCTCCCTTGAGACAGTTTCTCTTGAAACATAAACATTGAAACCATTTCCATTGAAATAAATTTTGTCTCTCTTGAGACAGTTTCCCTTAAAACAAATTTTGTCTCTCTTGAGACAGTTTCCCTTGAAACAAAATCTTTGAATCTGTTTTCCTTGAAACAAATTTCGTCTCCCTTGAGACAATTTCCTTGAAACAAAGTTTTGTCTCTCTTGAGACAGTTTCTCTTAAAACAAATTTTATCTCTCTTAAGACATTTTCTCTTAAAACAATTTTGTCTCTCTTGAGACAGTTTCCCTTGAAAAAAACTTTGAATCTATTATCCTTGAAACAAAGTTTTGTCTCTCTTGAGACAGTTTCTCTTAAACAAATTTCGTCTCCCTTGAGACAATTTCTCTTAAAACAAATTTTGTCTCTCTTGAGACAGTTTCCCGTGAAACAATTTTTGAATCTGTTTTCCTTAAAACAATTTCATGTCCCTTGAGACAGTTAATTTTAAAAACATTTTGTCTCTCTTGAGAATGTTTCCCTTGAAACGAAATCTTTAAATCTGTTTTCCTTGAAATAAATTTCGTCTCCCTTGAGACAGTTTCTTTTAAAACAAATTTTGTCTCTCTTGAGACATTTTCCCTTAAAATTTTGTCTCTCTGGAGAGAGTTTCACTTGGAACAAAAATCTTTGAATCAGTTTCCCTTGAAGCAAAATCTTTTAATCTATTTTCCTTAAAAAAATCGTCTCTCTCGAGACAGTTTCTCTTGGAAAATTTTGTCTCCCTTGAGGTATTTTCTTTTGATACTAAGTTGTGTCTCTCTTGAGATAATTTCCCTTAAAATAAGTTTTGTCTCTTTTGAGACAGTTTCTCTTAAAGCACCAATCTTTGAAATTATTCTCTTGAAACACAAAACCTTTGAAAATGTTCATCTTGTAATACCAAACATTCGAGTTCAATTACATTCAGCACAAAGGTATGTCAAATTTACAGTATAGCTTAAGTTGAGAAGAAGACTGAAGTTGACTACAATTTGGCAACGAGAAGCCTCAATCCGATTTAAATCCTGAATTACGGCTTTAATTCCATATCATTTTCAGATGGACTCTACCTTACGACAAGGGAGTCATTTCAAACCAATCAAATATCGGGTTTCAACTCTATGACGGATGACATTCGATATAGACGAAATTTGTGTCTTGTAATATTTGCTCTATTTTCGTTACATGATAATGAGCAAAGAGGGGCAGCTGAAGACACTTAATTCCGTCCCCTTGATTAATATTATTATATAATATATTTATTTACACCATTTTATTTACATTGTGTCAGGCCCAATGAAGCTGAAATACATGGCCCAGCAGCTACCCAAACGTACAACCTGAATTGGAAAACAAGGGTTTCCAGAATCCTAGTTCTTCAATTCCAAGTCAGCATCGCACGCCCCATTTTTCTTTCTCCACGGTCGCATGCCTCTCAACAACCCCATTTTTCACGGCAACACTCCAGCGGCTCCGAGTTCTCCGGCGCAAGGAAAGCGTCACCAACGCCACGCATGAAACAGAGCAACCAACATCAGTGTTTTACTCAAATGTAAACTCTAAAAACGCTTTTTCTTTGGCTATATATATTATGTAATGAACACACAGAGAAAGGAGATGAAATACGAGCAGAAAGTTTCGAGCTGAAAAAATAAAAACAAAAAAAAGAAAAAACATACGATTGTGAGAAGAAAAGTCTGCGAAAGGAGAATCAAAGTATTAAAACGGCGAACAAACCTTTAAGCCCCAATCAAGCTAGCGTCCGAAGGAGGATCTCTATGTTTAAAGAAGGTAAAAAACGTAATATTTTTGTTAGATCTATTGGATTATGCTTTGATTACTTGAAAAACCAACTTTAGATTTGTAGTTCAGGATTTAAAACGTTTAAAAGGACGAACTTTGTGAATTTCTAGTCACCGACGACAGTGGTCGTCAATCGTTTGTGAAAATTGATTTTCCAGCTATGTCTGAAAATACCAAAGCATTTGAAGGGGGGGAGATAGCTGAAATCTTAGAAATTAAACAGAAGTGAAATTGGGTTTAAAATAACTTATATATAAACCCATTTAGATGTTACCCGATTCATTTAGAGTCTTTTAACCCGTGTGTTGTTTTCTTTTTCTGGGAAACAATGTGTCAGATCCTTCCATTTTTAGAATGAATTCAATTTGGTCTCGTAATTAGCCTTAATTAATCTCACGTTGCCAGGTAATATAGTGCTTAATGATATTTAATCCTTGGATTTGCTAATAATTTTAACACCTAGACACTCTTATTCTTATTCATAATTAAACTTAAGAAAATAATTTGGAAATTTGATAATTATATCTTCTTTGGCCTCAGTTAAAAATTTGATATAATGTTTGATATATGTTTAAATTAGGCGTGTTTGAGCTAAGTATTAATTAATGATTAGATAACTAATTAGTAAGCAATTTGGATCGATATTTTTACCTCTTAATTTAAATTTACATTTTTCTTAACTAAAGACAACTGGAAATTACATAGTACCGAAAGGGCGGTTTAAGGGTGTTAATCCTTCCTTGACCGTAACCAACTCTCGAATCCGACATATCACTAGTAAGATGCAGATCATGTAAGAAATAAGATATCCGGTCAACCCATTTGATTTAAATAAATGATCGTGACGACTCCAACCCAATCCGCATTATAATAATAACCGTAGAAAAAGTTAATGAAGTGTGTAAAAAAACTATAGCTTTAGATACTCCAATAACTTTTTATACATCAATATTTATCGTATTAAAATATTATCTTATTAAAATTTCGATATAATCATATGATATTTACAAAAAGACCATCATAAAATAAGGCTTAATATAAAATAAGTGTCCAAATTATATTGTTTTTAACGAATTGGTGCCTAAAATATTTTTTGAATGTTCTAGTGTTTAATGTTACAACATCACCGCTTTAGGTGCCTCAGTTTTAACGCCATTAAAAATCCATTAAGTGACACGTGTCATAATCTGATAATTTTGTTAATTTATTTTAAAAAAACTTTAAAATATTTATTTTCTAAAAAACCTATTTTTTCTAAAATACCAGAAACTCAAAACTCTTAAATCTCTTATTCTAGTCCCATTTACTCCCAATAGTTTGGTCATCTTAGACCACCCATTCACCGGCGATTAACCACCCTGACAGGTCACACCCCTTGATATCATCTCAAAACCCAAATTTTCAAATCTCTACATTTCAATTCCTCATCCCTAAAATCTCAAATACTCAATCCCATAAATTATTTTGATTTATCGTGGTGATCGCTGTTTGGTCCTGGAAAGTTTGGAGAGGAGGAAACTTAGAAGCAAGGGAGAAAAAGGGGTGGGACGCGAGTTGAGAAAATAGTTTTTTTAAAGAAAGATAAAAGATTTCTAAGATTATGATACGTGTCATTTAACGGATTTATAACGATTCAGACCGTAAAATGGTAATGTTTGTAACGTTAGACCTCTAGATGATTAAAATAGTTTAGGCTCGTGAAAAGTGATAGCTTGAGAAGTCTAAAATAATATTGTTAATTTATTTTTTTATTATATATATATATATATATTAGACATCAATTCGTGAAAAGTGATAATTTGGGAAGTCTAAAATAAATATTGTTAATTTATTTATTTTTATTTTATTATATATCAATCTTTTTCAATTTAATTTAAATTTTCTTAACTCAAATTATAATAACTCAATTTTTTTTTTTTTGGATTTGGATCAGCTCGGCCAGGCTTTCGGCTCGGTTATTTTGCAGGCTCTACTCGGACTTAGTTGTTCCAAAGCCGCCTGAAATTAATAATCCGAATCAGTGAAGTTGCAGTGAGCAAAAGAGCTGCATTGTTTTCGTGACTTTGGGCAATTCGAGCTGACTCAAAAATGGCGGTATTTGGAATTTACGGGTGGATGCCACTCTTGCATCTTACCATCACACCATTTTCGAAGCTCTATCCCACCTTCAAGGTCATTGTCTTCAATCCCTCGAATCTTTTGTTTAACTTTTCTTTTCATCGAATTTGAAATATTTGTGTAATTCATCATCTGTTTGATCAATTTCTGTCTGGGTTGTTGAATGAATCGGGCAAGTTCCGTAATTCAGTGTATTTTAGGGTTAGAGTTGGAGACGCTGTTCTGGTTCGTTTGAATTCCTAGTTGTTTAGTTGTTCTTTTGAAGTAATCGAGCAAGAGCTAATTGGGTTTCCCTGCTTTGACGCAACACTGTTAGTTGGCAAACCCTTACCGTCCTCGGTTTTCATTTCCGGAAAATATCCTGGGTTCTGTTACCTAATATCTCAGCTAATTATTTTAGATTTTTTTAGTTTATTCACTATTGGCCTTGTTGGGTTCGTAATCTTCAATTTCAATCGCAGTTTGTTTTTTTATTTCTACTTTTTTTAATTGAAAATTGTCCTTCCTCATTGTCATAGCCTTATGCTAAAGAGGGCTGCATTTCATTTCCCGAAACGTTTTAAGTACCAAGAAATAGTCAAGAATCATGACCGTAGATTGATCTTGTCAATTGCATGTAGAGCCAATTTAAGCATGTATGTACATTTTGGAACCTATTACTTGTTGGTATGAACTGAGATTCTTATTCCGAATACGATACTTGGCAATTATGAGTAAGGGGAACAAGATATTGACGGAAGATCTGAGCTTGATTTTTGGTGTTTCAAGTGAGTCGTACCCTTGCTTGTTCATCATAATCCTTTGATCTTCTACCTTTTAAAAAACAATCCTTTGATCTCCTACCTTTGACAATTTGATTAGAGTGATTTGGAACAAAAAAGATGCATTGTCATTGCTTGTAGTTGTAGGTTGCATTGGGCGATGATGGCTGCCGATCTGCGACCATTGCCTGAAGACTCGTTCTATTAATGTGTGAGTTGTACGACAATCTCTAGTGTGTGATAGCACTGTGGGAAACACTTTGGTGTGATACCGTTGATGAGTGATGACTTTCTGTTGGATTATGTTTAAAGACATTATCATTTCAAGTTTTCAACCATCTAGCTGAGGTCTTCCGCACCTTGAGTTTCGCTGATTCTGTAGTAAAGTGGCGTTTTGTTATTTTTGCATAGCTATTGGGCGTTGGCTTTATTTGTTAATTGTATGACAAGATAGTTCATTGTTTCATACAGAGCACCATTTGTTAGTTATTAATCGATGTCCTGCATGTGTATAACAGCTAGGGGTGCACAAAAAATCCGAATATCCGATTTTGCGAAAAAAATATCCGAAACCGGATTTGGGAAAAATCGGTTTTTTTTAACCGGATCGGATTTTTTGAAACCGTTATTTTAACCGTTTGGAGAAAAAAACCTAGACCGGTTTTTTTACCGGATAAAAAACCGGTTTGAAAAAACCGGTTAAAAACCGTTTTTTCCGGAAAAAAAAATCGGTCTGGTTTAAAAACTAGCCGTTAATATAGCCGTTGGGGGGATTTTGTGACCGTTTTTTTCTTTAAAAATTACCATTTACCACCCTAAACATGTATAATAGGTTGGGGATGTATTTGGTTGATTACAAATTTCTCAAATTTTATTACACAACACTTAAACATCTCTCAAATCTTATTTTTGTAATTTTTTCATCATGAGTAACACGGCTGAATCTTCCGTCGGGGGAAACCTTGAAGTCGTGAGAGTGATCGAACACACTTGAAACAAAGACATTTGAGATCACTACGATTTATGTGAGATGTCAAATGGCTCGAGGAAGGCGCGTTTAAACTTTGTCTAAAGTTTCTTGCATCGGAAGGAAACACAACGTTGAAGAACCATTGACAAAATCATGCAAGGCACTTCGCTCAAGATCGGATACTAGTCAATCGAATCTTACACCGCAAGGTGGTGTTTTTGTTTACGACAACGAAAAATTACGAGAAGCGTTTACAAGTTCGTGATTACAAAAGCATTGCCGTTCGACCACTTTGATGATGAAGATTTCACGACAACAATTCAACAACTAATGTAACCACGTTATACTCAAGTAAGTCGTACTACCCTTAGAAGATATGCTATAAAAATGTGGCGTACGGCGAGGGAAAACGTGATTTTAGGATTCCAAGAACCCGTTATGGTGTGTCGCTTACATGTGACGTTGGAGTTCCCCTCATAATACCGGAAATTCTTTTTTAGCCGTTACGTCACATTGGTTATCAAGATATTGGCAAATGATGAAAAACAATCGCTTTGAATTATTCGGTGAGCCGCATACCGGTGCTAATTTATTTACACTTTTAAAAAGGGTAATTTGTCTTTATAAATTAGAAAATAAAGTTTTTTTATATCCTTTGATAATGCAATCGAATAATACAAACGCGGTTCCAAGATTGAAAATATTACTTTCACCGATTTTAGACGGTGCGTTTTTCATACCCGTTGCGTTGCACACATAATTAATTTATCCGTGCAAGCCGGTTTGGAGGTTATTGAGCCGATTAGATTAGAATTTAAAACAATGATAAAATCGGTTCTTTGTAACAACAACAAAAGACTAAATGATTATAAACGATTTTGTAAGTCCGTTAATAAAAAAGCTTTGGGTCCTAATTTGATTGTCCAACTCGTTGGAACTCAACTTGGATGATGATGCATACTGCCTTAAGCAAAGGGAAACATTGCAAACATTTCACGATCGCTTTTCGAGAGGGGTCATGTCCTAAACTTTATCCGGATTCGAGTTGGGAAACTATAGCCAAAATACCGATTTGCTTGAGGTTTTTAAAATGCAACAACTTTTTTATCCGGTGTTTTATTACCCTACTAGCCCGTTGGTTCTTAATCAATTATTTTTGTTGGCTACCGGACTAATGACTTTGAATTTGAAACCGAGTTTTTCAAGAAATTGGCTTTGCAATGAAGGAAAATTTTTAAAATATTTTAAGGAGATTCCCCCCATTTTTACTTGTTCCGCCGCTTTAAACCCAACGTTAAATGTTAGTGGGGTTGAAACACTAATTGAACAAATTGCGTTTGCTTTAATCTAACCGATGATGAACCCAACTTTGTCCAAAACCAAATAATTATTTAACAAATGTTTCGAGACATGTTTGCAATTTATTTAACTAAATACGGATCAGTAGTGTAATACACGATCAAATGAGAATGAATGCGGAATCATCTAGTAGACGTCCAAGTAACATAATTTGAATATTTTCACACTCTTGTAAATTCCCAATCCAAACGATCACGTACTACCACCCCAAGTAGCGAGTTTGGGAAATTACATGTCATGCGATTTTCTATCAAAAATGACATTTGAAGAGTTTGAAAGTTTGGATATTTTGGCTTGGTGGAAAGAAAAGGAAGCACAATTTCCGATTCTAGCCGCCATGGCCCGTGATTCACTAACCGTCCAAGCTTCTACGGTAGCTTCGGAATCCGCTTTTTCTGTTAGTGGCAGGTTATATCGCAACGGAGATCAAGACTAAGTCCCGAGTCGGTGGAAGTATGCATTTGTTTAAAGGATTATTTGGATGGAGCGGCTCGTAAGCAACATATCACCACCCTAGAAGATGCAATTGATGCCGATTTGGAAGCAAACTTACACATTGAAGAAGTCGAACTTGGAATATCCCCCCAAACGAGAAGGCGAAGATGATGAAGAAGAGATGGCAATGTAGTTTATTTTATACTTTATTTCATTATCGTAAACTTTGTTTCAATTATCGAACTTGAAGTTTTTAAGTATTTGAATTTATCGAACTTGGAAGTTTTTAAGTATTTGAATTTATCAAACTTGGAAGTATTTAAGTATTTCAATTATGTTGATTAATTAAGTATTCATTAAGTATTTGAATTTATCGAACTTGAGGTTTGATGCTTTCTCTTTGATTCTCTTGATTCTAGTTTGCTTGATGTTTCTTGTCTTTGATCAATGGAAGCGGTTTAAGTGTGAAAATATTTAATAAAATGCTTGGAGCGTGGGGAATCGGTACCCTCTCATAGGGAATCGGTTTCCTCTCATAGGGGGGAATCGGTTCCCCCTATGGGGGAATCGGTTCCCTCCGAGCATTCTGGAAATCTCGGAGCCAAACCATTCAGTGAGGAATCGGTACCCCCTTGGGGAGGAATCGGTTCCCTATGAGCAATCTGGAATATTAATATCGGTTTTTTTATAACCGGTTTTTTAAAAAAAAATGGTTTTTTTAAAACCGAAACCGGTTACACCGGTTAGGATATCCGTCCCTCCAAACCGGTTAGAAACCGAACCGGTTATTTTATAAACCGGTTTTTTTTCTATGGGAAAAAACCGGATCGGATAAAAACCGATCCGGATCGGATTGAAATCCGACAAATGTGCACATCTAATAATAGCTATAGAAGAGTGTACATTCTCTGGTCTTTTTGTTTTAATTTTGGTGCTCTATTATAGGTAGATTTCATGTGTTTCGTGAAGGGAGGATCGAGGTTTTCCGATATCATACCAAAATGGAATGGATTGACAATTAATAGTCGAAGCATTGGCGGCCAAACTAAGAGATCAGCAGGGATCATGGGATATTATAAGTTGTCTCCAAATACCGTTCGGGAAGGCGTTGAAAGCTTCCTCTTACATGTCATAAACATGAGCTTCTTTGAGCGACTTAACTTGGCTTGGAAAATAGTTTTCCCATCTCCGGCAACTAGGAGGAGCTCGAATGCAAATATAGCGAAGCAGCGCTTGAAGATGATCCTGTTCTCTAATCGCTGTGCAGTTAGTGATGAGGCGAAACAGAAAATTGTCAAAAACATCGTGCACGCTCTGTCAGATTTTGTCGAGATAGAATCGAAGGACAAGGTTCAGCTTAGTGTCTCTACCGATTCTGATCTGGGAACTATTTACTCCTTCACGGTGCCTGTTCGGCGGGTGAAGGCAGAATACCAAGAGGAAAATGAAGCTGGGACGATAACAAATATCGAGTACAAAGATACTGGAGACCGGTCTGGTTCGGTCGATGTAAGGTTCGATTTCTATGTTTCAGACGAGTAGACACAAATTGGCAAAGGTTTGCAGCTATCAAAGATTAAAAGAGCATTTGATTATTTTGATATCCATTGAACTCTAGTTTTATGATTTGCTTCAATGGTGAAACCTAGAAGAAGGCAATATTTTTCAAAACTCCTTTTCATATTTTCAAAATTTTGAAAAGTCAAAGGAAGAAAAGCATTTTCAAACAAGATAAGTTCTCTGGAAGCATGTCTTGGAATTCAACAGATATACCTCTGAAGCTCAAGATTGAAGCTGGGGCAAAAGAAGCCATTTTTGGGGCAAAATTTGATAATTGTCTTAAGTTGAGGTTTGCAAGAATACACCATGTTGGAAATGAAGAAAAACTGAGAGAATGGAGATTGCTCACGCAATTATCCCCTTCACAGATCAACATTTTGTTTTAAGCATATTCAAGATTCCAGCATCAAGAGTCATCAAGACTGATAACCAGGGATTGAGATTTCTCTTTAAACCCTAACATATTTCGCATATACATCAACACATGCATACATTACGCATGAAATTTGCATCTTTGCATTCATCATCATGTGCAAGAAAGACCTTGATTTTTTAGGACAAATTCTATAAATCGACAAATAAATTTCATCTTGGCATACATCAAACATCCATCATCAGGATAGTTACATCTATATACATTTTACAGATCTTTCAGGAGAATATGAGGTCAAAAGACAACAAGTCATCCTCATCAAGAATGAACAATCATCTTCAGATTCAATATTTCCAATATAAATTTTGTCTCGCTTGAGACAATCTCATTTAATGTAGATGATTATCTCACTTGAGATTTCTTTTCTTAAAACATGCTTTGTCTCACTTGAGACAATTTCACTCGAAAAAAGGCATTTCATTTCACTCAAGAATGTTTTTAAAAAGAAGATTTTATCTCGCTTGAGATAGTTTCCTTTGAAACAAAATTTTGTCTCACTTGAGACAATTTCTCTTGAAACATAAATATTGAAAACATTTCCCTTGAAATGAATTTTGTCTCTCTTGAGATAGTTTCCCTTGAAACAAAATTTTATCTCCCTTGAGACAGTTTCTCTTGAAACATAAACATTGAAACCATTTCCATTGAAATAAATTTTGTCTCTCTTGAGACAGTTTTCCTTAAAACAAATTTTGTCTCTCTTGAGACAGTTTCCCTTGAAACAAAATCTTTGAATCTGTTTTCCTTGAAACAAATTTCGTCTCCCTTGAGACAATTTCCTTGAAACAAAGTTTTGTCTCTCTTGAGACAGTTTCTCTTAAAACAAATTTTATCTCTCTTAAGACATTTTCTCTTAAAACAAATTTTTTCTCTCTTGAGACAGTTTCCCTTGAAAAAAAAACATTGAATTTATTATCCTTGAAACAAAGTTTTGTCTCTCTTGAGACAATTTCTCTTAAAACAAATTTCGTCTCCCTTGAGACAATTTCTCTTAAAACAAATTTTGTTTCTCTTGAGACAGTTTCCCGTGAAACAAAATTTTTGAATCTGTTTTCCTTAAAACAAATTTCATGTCCCTTGAGACAGTTAATTTTAAAACAAATTTTGTCTCTCTTGAGAATGTTTCCCTTGAAACGAAATCTTTAAATCTGTTTTCCTTGAAATAAATTTCGTCTCCCTTGAGACAGTTTCTTTTAAAACAAATTTTGTCTCTCTTGAGACATTTTCCCTTAAAAATTTGTCTCTCTGGAGACAGTTTCACTTGGAACAAAAATCTTTGAATCAGTTTCCCTTGAAGCAAAATCTTTTAATCTATTTTCCTTAAAAAATCGTCTCTCTCGAGACAGTTTCTCTTGGAAAATTTTGTCTCCCTTGAGGTATTTTCTTTTGATACTAAGTTTTGTCTCTCTTGAGATAATTTCCCTTAAAAAAAGTTTTGTCTCTTTTGAGACAGTTTCTCTTAAAGCACCAATCTTTGAAATTATTTCTCTTGAAACAAAAACCTTTGAAAATGTTCCTCTTGTAATACCAAACATTCGAGTTCAATTACATTCAGCACAAGGGTATGTCAAATTTACAGTATAGCTTAAGTTGAGAAGAAGACTGAAGTTGACTACAATTTGGCAACGAGAAGCCTCAATCCGATTTAAATCCTGAATTACGGCTTTAATTCCATATCATTTTCAGATGGACTCGACCTTACGACAAGGTAGTCATTTCAAACCAATCAAATATCGGGTTTCAACTCTATGACGGAGGACATTCGATATAGACGAAATTTGTGTCTTGTATATTTGCTCTATTTTTGTTACACGATAATGAGCAAAGAGGGCAGCTGAAGACACTTAATTCCGTCCCCTTGATTAATATTATTATATAATATTTATTTACACCATTTTATTTACATTGTGTCAGGCCCAATGAAGCTGAAATACATGGCCCAGCAGCGACCCAAACGCACAACCTGAATTGGAAAACAAGGGTTTCCAGAATCCTAGTTCTTCAATTCCAAGTCAGCGTCGCACGCCCCGTTTTTCATTCTCCACGGTCGCATGCCTCTCAACAACCCCGTTTTTCACGGCAACACTCCAGCGGCTCCGAGTTCTCCGGCGCAAGGAAAGCGTCACCAACGCCACGCATGAAACAGAGCAACCAACATCAGTGTTTTACTCAAATGTAAACTCTAAAAATAGCTTTTTCTTTTGGCTATATAATATGTAATGAACACACAGAGAAGGAGATGAAATACGAGCAGAAAGTTTCGAGCTGAAAAAATAAAAACAAAAATAGAAAAAACATACGATTGTGAGAAAAAGTCTGCGAAAGGAGAATCAAGTATTAAAACGGCGAACAAACCTTTAAGCCCCGATCAAGCTAGCGTCCGAAGGAGGATCTCTATGTTTAACGAAGGTAAAAAGCGTAATATTTTTGTGAGATCTATTGGATTCTACTTTGATTACTTGAAAACCCAACTTTAGATTTGTAGTTCAGGCTTTAAAACGTTTAAAAGGACGAACTTTGTAAATTTCCAGTCACCGACGACGGTGGTCGTCAATCGTTTGTGAAAACTGATTTTCCAGCTATGTCTGAAAATACCAAAGCATTTGAAGGGGGGGGAGATAGCTGAAATCTTAGAAATTAAACAGAAGTGAAATTGGGTTTTAAAAATAACTTATATAATAAACCCATTTAGATGTTACCCGATTCATTTAGAGTCTTTTAACCCGTGTGTTGTTTTCTTTTTCTGGGAAACAATGTGTCAGATCCTTCCATTTTTAGAATGAATTCAATTTGGTCTCGTAATTAGCCTTAATTAATGTCATGTTGCCATGTAATATAGTGCTTAATGATATTTAATCCCTGGATTTGCTGATCTCGATTGAATTCCATGTATCTGACTTCTTAGTAAGATGAATTTGTGGTCAAATTATTAATTGTCTTCAATTGAATCAAACTTGGTGTGAAAAGTGCATTGAGCATCCCGATTTCCTTGCTTGGAATGTGCATGACTTAATAATTTTTTATCTCGTGGTTAGTGAACTGTGAATCAACGTGTCTAGATTTAGGTTGATTAACGTGTTTGAATTCCATCTCCATAGTTTTAGTTGTCAATGCATTAATTTTGTTTAATTGTCATTCTTTTATTAATAAATTTTTAAGCCTGTTAACCGATTAATTTTGACACCTAGACACTCTTATTCTTATTCATAATTAAACTTAAGAAAATAATTTGGAAATTTGATAATTATATCTTCTTTGGCCTCAGTTAAAAATTTGAATAATAATGTTGATATATGTTTAAATTAGGCGTGTTTCAGCTAAGTATTAATTAATGATTAGATAACTAATTAGTAAGTAATTTGGATCGATGTTTTTACCTCTTAATTTAAATTTACATTTTTCTTAACTAAAGACAACTGGAAATTACATAGTACCGAAAGGGCGGTTTAAGGGTGTTAATCCTTCCTTGACCGTAACCAACTCCCGAATCCGACATATCACTAGTAAGATGCAGATCATGTAGGAAATAAGGTATCCGGTCAACCCATTTGATTTAAAATAAATGATCGGTGGCGACTCCAACCCAATCCACAATTATAATAATAACCGTAGAAAAAGTTAATGAAGTGTGTAAAAAAACTATAGCTTTAGATACTCCAATAACTTTTTATACAATCAATATTTATCGTATTTAAAATATTATCTTATTAAAATTTCGATATAATCATATGATATTTACAAAAAGACCATCATAAAATAAAGGCTTAAATATAAAATAAGTGTCCAAACTATATTGTTTTTAACGAATTGGTGCCTAAAATATTTTTTGAATCTTCTAGGTGTTTAATGTTACAAACATCACCGCTTTAGGTGCCTCAGTTTTAACGGCCATTAAAAAATCCATTAAGTGACACGTGTCACAATCTGATAATTTTGTTAATTTATTTTCAAAAAAACTTTAAAATATTTATTTTCTAAAAAACCTATTTTTTTCTAAAATACCAGAAAACTCAAACTCTTAAAATCTCTTATTCTAGTCCCATTTACTCCAATAGTTGGTCATCCTAGACCACCCATTCGCCGGCGATTAACCACCCACTGACAGGTCACACCCCTTGATATCATCTCAAAACCCAAAATTTTCAAATCTCTACATTTCAATCCCTCATCCCTAAAATCTCAAATACTCAATCCCTTAAATTATTTTGATTTATCGTGGTGATCAACTGTTTGGTCCTGGAAAGTTTGGAGGGGAGGGAAAACTTAGAAGCAAGGGAGAGAGAAGGGGTGGGATGCGAGTTGAGAAAATAGAGTTTTTTTAAAGAAAGATAAAAGATTTCTAAGATTATGATACGTGTCATTTAACGTATTTTATAACGATTCAGACACGTAAAATGGTAATGTTTGTAACGTTAGACATCTAGATGGTTTAAAAATAGTTTAGGCATCGTGAAAAAGTGATAGCTTGAGAAGTCTAAAATAATATTGTTAATTTATTTTTTTATTATATATATATTTATATAATTTAGACATCAATTCGTGAAAAAGTGATA